TATATATATATATATATCTGAGGTTTATAAATGAGCTACAAGATATGTAATATTTTTGTTGCATGCTGTGTGCACACGCACGTGCATGTACCCTCCTTATCGTGGTCTCATAGGTGCCGTAAGGATCCCTAGATGTTGACAGCTGCCTTACAGATCTCCACTGCTGTGTGGAATTGTGTGCTACAGAGCTCACTCTGGCTCCCGGCTGCTGTGGGCCGTGGGTCCCTGCGATGATGGGCAGGGTTGAGATGGTCAGTGCCCGGCGTATATCTTGGAGGAAGCTCCAGAGTGAAATGCCTGACCTCGTAAAATTCTTATCCTATCAGAACTCATTAAAAATGTTTACTTCACCTGAATGAGCAACATGAGATATTTAAAACAAATATTTAAAATCGTACCTTACACTTTCAGGGCAAAGAAAGGAAAATTACTCAGATGTTGTGCTCTGTTTCTGATAAGATTTGTGTTTCTGTCGTGTGCAAGGGCTCTTGGGATGCATACAGTTATAGAATATGGCACAGATTTGTAGCCACGGCCTGGCTGTGTTCCCGTGCTTGCCTTTTGCAATAGTAGCAGTTAGCGTTACCTCGTGGTGCGGAGGATGCTGGTTTTCCTTAAGTGTTTATGGGCACAAACTGAGAAAGTAGTGAATTTTTTCCAATAGTTAATGTATCTTGAGAGGGACTTTACTTCTACCACACATAGCTGGTTTTTGAATTATTAACCTAGCCACAGTAATTTAAAGCAAATCCTCCTCCTCATTTAAAGCTGACCCATCTAGGCCCAAAGAATGATGGGCTCATGCCCTGTGTAAGTTGTCAGTTTGCCATTATTTTTAGAAATATTTCATAAAAGGCATTTTTCGCCAGTGTTCTTATTTTCATTATTTAACAGTTTAACTCTCTTGTTACTTTATTATAACTACCTGCCTGTCTTCACTACCAGCTGTTACCTCTTTTAAAGCCAGTTTTAGGATTTTGGTGTACGAAGAGGAGCTCCCTGAATTCTTGTTGAATGACTATCAACTTTTCCCATATTTCTAGCTGTTTTAAATTTTTATTTTCAATATTGACGCACTGTGTGATTACATTTGAGTGCTTCCTCTCAGTGAAGTCCTAGTTTTGTGCTTATTCTGTCTAATTCCATGTTCCATCTGTGAGTAAAGCTGCTATTTCCTGTGGGAAGACTTGGTAGTCGTGTTGTATGTCCTTGACTGTGTCCTCAGGTACGATTTTGATACTCAGTATGCGTTTGTTGGTGATTATTCTGGACAGATCACCCTGCTGAAACTCGAGCAGAGCACGTGCACAGTCATCACCACCCTCAAAGGACACGAAGGTAGGCTGTGTCAGCAACCAGCAGGCTTGTGTCTACCTGAAGCATGAATACTCAGCTCTCGTCTTCACAGTTCATGAATGAGCAACTCTTCATGGTTGGTCCAGTCAATTCAGTGATTGGCTGGGATCTCTCAGTTTTCAATTTGATGGGATCTGGAAATAAAAAATGTAAGAGAACGTAGGGTTTAGTTTGATATTGTCAAAAACCCTTCTAAATTGCTTCAATGAAGAATATTTTATTGTTTGCATTTTTAAGTTACTGTTTTCCTAAGATCTTTAAAATCTTAAAATTATAAACAGTAAGACTTATAGAAGAATTGCCATTATCATTTAATCTGTTAGTTTGTAGGATATTAAGCAAAACTTCTTAGGTCAGTACCATTAGAGGAAGTGTATGGACTGGCTCAGCCCCATATTTGGCAGCACTCTGGCTAGGGAGTGGGACACTGGAATTACTGGATGGAAAGATCCTTGCTTCTTTAGTGCAGTGAGTTGGCAGGCATCTGTGGAGGGACCCTAAAGCCTCACTGGCCATATGGGGTAACTTTCTGTGTACATAGGCATTATAGATTGTGTTCATTGAGTGCTAAGATTTAATGCAAATAGTTTGTCATAAAAGTTCTCTCAAGAGTTATAAATTAGAATCTTTGAGGTCATCTGGTTTAAACTGAGGAATTGAAGATTTGAAAGGATTAGTGGTGGACCTATTTGTGACAATAGTGTTTTAATTATAAAAACTTAAACTTGTGCTATACATTCTAGCTAGCTCATTCAGGTAAAAAAAAAAAAAAAAAAAAAAAAAAAAAAAAGACTGTGGCAAATCAGGAACTTTCTAGGGAAACAGGGAAAAAACAAGAAGAACAAGTTAGAATAGATTTGGGCTGCAAAACATTGCCCCTAAGGAAACCATGTTCTGTCTCTGACTAATCCTCTCATGACCTCCAGACCTGTAAGTCCCCTCTGGGCTGCTAGGGGCAGAGTGGACTCTGTGACTCCTGCATGTTCATCTCTCAGGTGCAGCTGCCTTGGGCAGGACATAGGATTAAGCAGTCAGAATCCTGCAGACTTGACTCCTGAAGCTCATTGTACAGAATGCTTGTTTCTTCACTTTTATCTTGAGAACCTGCAAGTATTATTTTAACAGTTTTTGTATACCAAAAAAATTATCATTAGCTTGTGTAACTGGTTCACTTTGTTTAGTTAATTAATAATCTTTCCTAGGCAGATAACAATGAACCATGTACAGGTGTATTGAAATAGAAATTTGTAGAAAAGAGATTTTCTAGAGTATGAGATTTGGTTAGCCAGATTATCTATTTGATAAGATATAGTGGGAAATGTGAGTCCTGGATTCTTACCTATTTTTTGGGCATAATTGTTTGGTTTACCTACAGGCTTTTTTCTGAGACATGTACTTTTCTTCAGTGTAGGTATCATGTTAGGGTAAAATGTCTACAGGGTCCAGGACCTCGAATAAGCTAAATTTTCATCTTGTATAAAATGAGCACAGTAAACTGCACTAACTTTACTCAGAATGTTATTAGTAGGAACTTCTTTTCCTACAGGAGCATTTTCTGAACTAACATTTCATGTATAGCTGCCTTATGAATACTGAACAAGAAAATCATTGGACATACTAAAAGTTACTTTGATGCACAATTGAAAACTATTTTTACAGCTTTGGGTAATGGATATCCTGGGTCCTGTCTGTGAGCCAGGAGAAGGATCTTAAAGGCTCAGCCAGGCCTGGTTCCCATGTGAGCTGTCAGATGTGTGCTTCCTGGAGCAGAGTCACATTTAACCCACCCTCTCTTTCTTATCCCAGGTAGTGTTGCCTGCCTCTGGTGGGACCCGATTCAGCGGTTACTCTTCTCAGGAGCATCCGACAACAGCATCATCATGTGGGACATCGGAGGCAGGAAAGGCCGGACGCTTTTGCTTCAGGGCCACCAGTGCGTGACTTTTGGTGAAGTGGAGCTGGAATCTGAGGGTGGGGAGCTTGGAGGGAGCTGGAGTATTTCAGTCCAGACTTCTTCCTTGCTCTGTCCTTTAAGACAGCAGTTTCATAAGGCAAAGTCCACATTTATTTATTTATTTATTTATTCATTTATTTATTTATTCCAAGTCTGTTTTTAATTCCTGTTTGTGGATCCTGAACAGTACCTATCCAGATATTTAGCAGCCCCTTTACTTCAAACAAAGTTCAGGTTTTCTTCCTCTTTAGTCCAAAGAGCATTTGCCACCTTTCTGTCTGTGCTAACTGCTTAGGGCAGGTGTGAGTTAGACACTGCTGGTGAGGACTTTGGCCACATAGAATGTGTGTCATGCAGTACCAAGGTATTCTTAAATTGGATGCCTAAGTTTTTTTTTTAAATTGTAAAATGCATTTCAATAAGAAATAATGCACAGTTTTACACGGCCCTACTAATATCTCTGACCTTTTCATACTTAAAATCTTGTCTTATCTGAAAGGAGGAGCACCTTCTCCTTTACCCTGTTTTCCTTCCTTCCATGTTTTGTTCACGCTGTGGCCATGTACTGTAATCAGGATCAAGTTGAAATTTAGCCAAGGAAAGATTAGGTCCACAAGTCCACAGCTGTTTCCTGGGTATCATCTGGAGGAATGGTCTGACAGGCTTGCAGAAGGGGCAGACCTCTTCTCCCTGTCAGTGCATGGTGTGTGCCCGTGCACCTGCATGAGCATGCCTGCTCCTGGCACCTTCTTCATGGTACCTACTTGCTCATATGGGCTGCACTCCAGTGGAAAGTTATACCCCTGCTTCTTCTCTGTTTCTGGACAAGTAGATAAATTTTGTGTGCTTGAAGGAGAAATCATGGAAATTAGTTTAGAAGACCATACTCCATTTTCTGTCTCTGTCTCAAAATTCTGAATGATAGATTTGAAAGTGGTGATGTTGGGCTGGCCAGATAGCCCAGCAGAATAAAGTGCCTGCTTAGGCAAGCACAGGGACTAGGGTTCAGTCCCTGGCATACCATGCCTGCCCTGCCCCTGGAGTGTGCTGAGATGGTGACTGAGACTGGGTGTGGTGGTGCACACCTGTAATCCCAGTGCTTGGGAGGCTGAGAACAGGAGGATCACTACGAGTCCAATCTGTGTAGTGAGACCCTCTAGACCCTGTACCAAATATGTAAAAAAATTGGTGTTTATATTAGAAAAATTATAATTCTTCATAATAAGCCATAGGATGCCAAGCAGTTTCTGGTGTGATCCCTGTACCATACAAACTATTCAGTGATAAAATACCCCTTAGTAACTTGAATGAGGGAGGAGAATCGAGCTTAAATAAAGTGTCTGGGTTTCTCTGCACTGAGACCTGTGTCTCTTGTGCCGTTTGCAGTGACAGGGTGCAGTCACTGTGTTACCTTCAGCTCACCAGGCTGCTTGTCTCCTGCTCCTCGGATGGTGGGATTGCAGTGTGGAACATGGACGTCAGCAGAGAAGAGGTAAGAGGCAGAGCAGGGCAGGGCTGCTGGAGAGGCCCTGAGAGCCTGCCTGACTTCCCCATTTCGCTCACAGTGAGCAGTCCCAGGTTGTCTCTCTTGCACCTGCCGGTGTTGTCTAATGGCCTGCGTGTCATTTTGCATGCATCCTCCCCACAGCTGAGAGCATCTACCAAGGAAAGCACTGTGTGCTGGCAGATAGCGTCTCATCTACCTTGCTGCCTTGCTGAGCCCAGCGGCAGCCTTGGGCCAGCGTCAGCCTTGTTGTGGGCCCAGGAACTGGGCTTTGTGGAGCCCTCTGGAGCAGCCTTGTGGCCCCACCACACTCCTGTGCAAAGCCTGAGGGTGTGCCAGGGAGGTCTGTGGCATAGCAAGGCACTTATTTTTCTCAGAAAATGTCTCCATATCTTCACTTATTTTTCACCTGGTTGGTGGTGGTGGTGTTCCTCTTGGGCATCCTGATTTTTAATTGGGTGGGGCCACTAACATTTACGGAAGTGCCTCCACTTCTCTGAGCTTTCACTGCCTCTCCCATAAAGTAAAATTACTGAATTTGTTTCTGTAGATGACACTGTAACACACTACATAATCTGTCTGCTTTTTCCTAGGTAATATGCTATAAATAATAAAACGGGGTTCATAATGTAGGGACATAATGATGGCTACATGTTTTTAGTAACCTTGCAAGACCCACATGAAATAATTACTCCTTTTTTATTTTCTAAAAAGAATCTCTTGATAAGTCTTGAAGTAACTGGTTATTAACCATGTTTAACACTGGCTTGAGATCAACAGACTCTAACATGCTCTTTGTCAGCATCTGTGTGCATTGTTGCGTATTTGTCAGCTACTAGTTCCACGTTCCACGTCACATAATGGCGAGCTGAGTGTACATCTGGGGTGGGTAGAATGGCCCCATTGCTCCGGTGCTTCCTGTGCGGGTGAATCGCTTCCTTTGAGTCATCTGGGGAGAAGAAAGAGTAGAAGTGATGTCAAATAGATGAGTTGTTTTGGGCAGGGTTTTTCCCCTTGCTGAGTAAATGTAGTACAAAGGAAAGCAAGTGTGTTCTGGAAGGTTCTGACTCCTAGTGAGGCTTCAGTACACTTGCTGAACCAAAGGCAGAGGAGGTTGACCTCGTGTTCTCCAGCTCCAGGGTTCTTGCCTCCAGTTTCCAAGTCACTTGTGAAACAGGCACAACGGGCTGGGGCTGTAGCACAGCGGCATAGTGCTTGCCTGGAGGGTGGGAGATTGCGAGTTCAGTTCCTGGAACACACAAAGCAAAACAGGCACAGCATATAAATGAGCAAGAAACAGTAACTGTGGAGAATGAGTATAAAGAGAACTTGTGTTGGAACCAGCACTTTACAGAACATGTAGTATTTGATACATGAGTGTAGTTAAGTGGCGGCAGTTAGTGTTACTATGGCGACGAGCAACTCTGGCCATACTTACCTCTATGAACATTAGATGGAAAGTGATTCAGAAATGTGAAGCAGCCACTGATTGATCAGTATTCCCCTTTGCTTTTCTCAGTGCAAAACTTTTTCTCCGTAGGTAACAAGCCCAGAGCAGAATGGCTTATGATAGTTTGCAGTTTCGCATCAAATTCCAAGTAGTAAAAGAAAGGAAGTTATGGCTACTTTTATATTAAAATCTGTTCCAAAAGCCTATTTATTTTTGATACTTATTTTATTTTACCTCAGAGTATTTCAAGCATATTGTTTTTCTTCTCTAGAGCCCCTCTACCCTCTAGCACAGTAAATTAGTGTTCTTTCTTAAAGCCTTACCCTCCCCAGGTAAGAGCTCAGCTCTGTTGGCTGTCCCACTGCAGTCCTGTGTGGAGACCCACACGACGACGTGAATGGGCTGAGTACAGCCTGGCAGACAAGCAGATGACGCAGCCCGGCCTCCCTAGGGCTCTTCCTCCCCTGCCTACTAATGGCGGCTCGTGGAGATTCTGCGCCACAAAAAGTGCCTGCGGTGCCGGGATGCTGCTGCCTGCATTTCTTTTTTTTTTTTCCCCATAATTTTATTGAGATACAAACAGCAATAAGACAGTTTCAAACCAAATTGGTAGGATGGTTTCAATAATTCGCACATTGCATGCATTCTTCCTAGTGGTTAATTACTGTACAAGATGCGGACATGATATCCTATTTACAAACACCATTAGAACAAATCCCTTTATTCATTAAGAGAATGTAATCTATCCTAACCATTTTGAATACACAGATACAAAATGAACATTCATCTGTATCCCCTTTTTTGGTTAAGTTCCATTTTTTAATATTATAGGTGTGTAAAGTCAGCAAAATATTATAAAAGAGTCCAGTAGTCCATAATAGTATTGGGTCTTCTGCTTCACTGGCAATGTCAGAAATTGTTGACCTGAGTGCCCTACAGCTCAACATAACAGCATGGTATCCCTCTTATACTTCGTGGTTTTTGTTTTTGTTTTTTTTTTTCAACAAATAATACACTGCATATATTCTTCTTAGTGGTTAATTGCTGTACAAGATGCGGACTTGTGATCCTATTTACAAACACCATTAGAACAAATCATTCTATTCATTAACAGAATGTAACTATATATCTATCTCAACCACTTTGAATACACAGATACAAAATGGACATTCATCTGTATACCCCATTTTTTGCATTTCTGAGGATTGTGATGCAATTTCCTGAAATAAACCATGGAGGGACAGGGTGCTGCTCGGTGGTGGGGCATTTGCTTAGCAAGCACAGGCCCTGCGTTCAGTCTCCAGCACTGGAGGGAAAGAAGAAAAGTGCGTGGCATTTACAAAACATGTCTCTTTTGTTCTGAGGTTTTTTTTTTTTGTTTTGAGGAAAGATCTCCTTTAGGTAGCCAAGGTTGACCCTGAGCTCAGGGCGACCCTCCATCTTAACCTCCCAATGTGTGTATCATCACTGCTGGCTCAGAACACTTCTTTTTTTTTTTTTTTTTTTTTTTAATGTATTTAGTATAGGGTCTACAGGGTCTCACTACACAGATTGGACTTGTAGTGATCTCCTGTTTTCATCCTCCCAAGCACTGGGATTACAGGCATGCGCCACCATGCACAGTCTAGTTGCTGGCTCAGTGCACCCCCAGGGGCAGGGCCAGCACTCAACACTTCTTAGTGGGTATATGCGCCCATTGTGTTAGTGATAGGAAACTGAGGCATGGAGAAGTTAAGTAATGTCCCTGAAGACAGCACTGAGACTATTAGAAAGGAGCTGAGAACTTAAAAATGACTTAGCTATACATGTAAAACTACCCTTGTTTGAGGTTGAGTCACTTGAGAAACATATTGAAGGGCTGAGAAATCCATTGGTGAGTTTCTTGACTGACACTGCCAGGGAGAGAGGACTTCTTGTGGAAAGGTATTCTGGGTAACTGAAATGTGAGCCTTCAGATGACGAGTCCTCATGAAGATAACCAATTGCCAAACATAGCTAAATTTTACTCATTTTTCCATGATTCAGTTTCATCTTTCTGACTGCAAATCAGTGTGTTGCATGGTAATAGAATTTTGTGTCTGGGTTTTAGTTTCTTTTGGGCCAGTAGGTTTTCCTGGAACTATCAACCCAGTTGTACCTGCCTCTACCCCACTTAGGACACTTTGTGACCTGCTGGGGACCTGCAGTTGTGTGGATCAGAACAGGCCCTTGGGAGCTGAGCATGTGACTTGGGTATGGCCCCTGCCTGACATTTGTGAGGCTGGCGTTGGTCCCTGGCACCACAAAGAACAAAAGAAAAGCAAAAGGCCAGTGATGTTGTAAATGAGACGCTAAGGGAGAAAAATGCGGACTTTTAATTCAGGAACTTCTCAGCTTCCTTCTGCCCACCCCTCTGCAAATTCAGATGTGTTTGCTTCCCCTTTATTTCAGTTGAGGGCCAGATTTCTTTTTTTCTTTTTTCTTTTTCTTCCTGTATTTTAGGGAAAGGTCTACAAAGTGTTCAGGGTCTCACTACTAGATCGGATTCATAGTGATCTGCCTGTTTACAGCCTCCCAAGAGCTGGGATTATAGGCGTGCGCCACCACACCCAGTCTCAATTGCCATCTCAGCACGCCCCAGGGGCAGGGCCAGCCCGGCAGGCCTGGGGATCAAACCCCCAACCCCTGTGCCTACTTGCAGGAACTTTAATCCACTGAGCTATTTGAGGGCTAGATTTCTTAATTTCATATAACAAAAGTTTTTTTAAAATTTATTATAAAATGATATTTAAATGTGTGGCCCAGGAAAGTAGAGAATTCAGCATATTAAATGTAGATGAAAGATCAGTGAATATCTGGAGCAACAAGGAATAAATGAAGTTCATAAATCAGAGTTGTTTTGGTTTTGCTTGGTTCAGGTGCTGGGGATCAAACTCAGGAGTTTGTATCTGCTGGACAAGTGCCCTACCCCTGAGTTGCACCCCAAACCCTCAGCGCTGTCTTTAGACTTTGCATTTTGGAGCAGTAAATTGAGCTCCACATTTCCTGCTGTTGATTTATGATTGTGTGCAGCAGAGCCTCAGCGGGGCCCCTGAAGATGCTACGGTCTTTGCTGGGGTTGCTTGAAGAGAGCTGCAGTGAGGGCCCTGTGTGCTGATTTTTGTGGCATGTGGCCCTGGTTTGCAGGTCTTACACTTGGCTGCCCACAACACTGGACTGGAAGGGGTGCCTGCATTCCTCCCCTGCATTTACATGTCCCCGTGCTATTGGCAGCACAGCCCACCCGAGGGGCACCTCTCCTGAGGGACATTGTCCCACACAGGAGCCCGAGTCCCACCAGCCTCTATGTCCACTGCTACGCTGGTCATGGAGATTGAAGTTCTGTGTCAGAATGGGAATCTCCCACTCTCCTCATTTCCACCAGCTCCCTGGTACTTGAAGATCGGAAGAGACCTATCTTGTGTCTCATCCTGCTTTAGTCTATTTGGGAATATCTTAACACCCCCTTCCCCAAGCACAGTCTTTCTAGTGGTTGTCATGTGTAGAAATGCTTCTAAAGACATATCTGAAGAGAGAAACAGGAATGCCCAAAATTTTGGTGCAATAGAAAACAAGGTAAGAACTAGGAAATAAATTCTTTAAATCAAAACTCGTGTAATTTCCTATAAGCCACCCCACCTGTAGTGCACATTTCCTAAAGGGCAGTATCATTTGGAAATTCTGTGATAGCCACCACTGTGCCATGTTAGAAGGTACATTTTTCTTGAGTTAACTTTCGGAAAAAATTTCTCTATGATGTTTGCTTGGAATGAGTGAAAGAAAGTAGTGTTTTCTGCAGGATTTCTTACACCTATATAAAATCAAATGATTGGAGTTAAACAGTGTTTTAAAGGATGTGTTAAAATTAAGTACATTTGATTCTGTTGTTGTTGTTTAGAGAAGTATTTTCTAAGTTTAGGTAAATTTGACACTTGGATTCCTGTTTCAGTGAAAATGCTTGGCAGGCCATTGCTATATGGAGATGAATGAGGCCAGCAGATGGCTGACTGGTTAGTGTGGAGGAGGAATCCCAGAGTGCCAGAGTGCCTTGTGCAGGGAGGCTTCCAGAACCCTGTGGCTCACGGGATCAAGGGGCTGCTGATGACAGATGCCCGCTAGCAGCTAGGGTATCGGGTTTTTTTTGTT